TTCGAGCTTAAAAGGAATGAAATGCAATGCAAAGCACTCAAAATAAAATAGAACGAGATGTCTTTTTTTAATCAAACGGGGCACTACATTAGTTCCGCGCTTCTTTACTTATGTAGTAAGACTTGGAGACTTGGAGGAATTCCCCAGTACAATAATGGATAATGGTCTAAACAGGTTTACACCTTCACATTTCTTAAAATGCAATATCTATTTTCTCGGCATAATTTTAAAATTGGTCCTATAATTTGGCCACTTTCCAAAAAACCATCCCGCCATTGGCCACTTTCAAGGTCATATAATTTGACGTTTTAATCAAATTTGGTCTTTTTTATCCAGAATATGGATTAAAATGAGATTACAAAAGGACCAAAATGTCAAATTATAGGACCAAATTTGATTAGAAAATGACCAAATTTGATTAAATGGACAATTTATAGGACCAAGAATGAAAGTGACCAATGGCGGGGTGATTTTTTGAAAAATGGCCAAATTATAGGACCCATTTTGAAATTATGCCTCTATTTTCTCCTACTTCTCATTTTCTCCACTGAAAAAAACTCGAGCTTCAAAAGTTTAATCATAATCAATATCTTGATCAGAAGCAACACAAACTTTTAGTACCCCAAATAGAACAAAAAACTTACATTATTCATCACTTATCATATTTTATTTTCCAACAATAAACATGAGAACAAGTACACAACACAAATAAAGTTCACAAGCACATATATACTTATTATTTAGTTGTTATCCGACCCAAACTGGCGCTGAAGATAATTAATCACATTCCCATCAACCTGGAAAGCTTTGGTGAGGACGTCGACCGAAATAGGAGGCATCGAACCGAAAACCGCATTGGCGATAGTAATAACTCCCGGGTTTTGGCTACTAAGTCCGGCAAATGCCACCGCATTACTCCTCCCGCTATTGAACTGAAAATGGACGAGACCTTCCGGAAAGACGAAAACGTCCCCCGGATTTAGCGTCTTTGTGAAGAGCTTGTTCCTTTGGTTTGGGTCGGCCGGGTTTGAGGTGACGAACCCAACATATAGAGTGCCTTGCACGACCACAAGAATCTCGGTCGCACGAGGGTGTGTGTGTGGCGGGTTGAGACCTTTCGGTGCATAGTCAATGCGGACCAGAGAGATGCCTAGCGTGTTGAGGCCCGGGAGTTGGTTCACATTGACTGGCGTGACTCTTGATCCGAGAGGATTAGACGTGTTCCCAGGCCTGTTGAGGCCCGAAAAGAAGAAATCGTCGGCCGTGACCTGATTTGGGTCCTTGCATATCTTTCCGTTCACAAACACTGCAAGTAAAAATAATATTGATGATGGTAAAAATAATATTTCCCTTTTTTATTTCTTAGTAAATCATTAGGATGACAAATTTTTTATTGAATAAAATGATAAGGAAAATACTACGGTCCCGGAACTATTACGTGGGACAGTAGCATCTCCCAAAATGATAATGCATGTTATTATGTGAATGAATTACCGGAGGCCTTGGCATCATTAACTGCGACACAGAAATCCTGAAGAGGGCTTGGATCAGAGGCATAAGCTAACCAATTAGCTAAACCCAAAACAGCAACTCCTAAAAGCAGATGAGACGCCATTTTTTTTTTTTCAATTAATTTAAAAATAGTATATAGCTACTAAGATAATTGTTCTTGTTTAGAGATTGATGTGTTGCAAAGCACATACACCGTGCCTATTTATAGTTGTACCGTGAGAATGAGTCGATTATCTTAGTAATTAAAAAAAAAAAAAAAAAA